GAAAGCAGAAGACTGTTATGATACTGGCGATAACATTGAAAAATAGATATTGCCAAAGAGTGATCATTATAGAGAAAATCCCTTTCACATTCTCTCCAAAAAAACATTTAACGATGACAATGATTAAATTGTAAACTATTGTGAATGAGAGAGCAAAGATTGAATTAGCGATCATCTAAAGCTCAACGTTTATTAAAAACAAAGTTTAAACCTGCAACATCAACCAGCGCTCGGCTCTGGCCACTTTGCCATGAAACTTCAACTAAAACCGCTGCGTTTTTCAGTTTGCAATAACTCACCTCTTTCATTTTCCGACTGGTTACAAAGTCGAAAGAGCACATCAAAAAGTAAGGAACACGTGCGATGTACGTATTAAGAATAATATAAAAATCTACATTAGCATATGATGCCGCATAATAAAGTGAATAACGAAGCAAATATGGGATTAAGAGTTGGAGGTAGGGCAATTGAAGGGTACTTCGAAAGAAGCTTCCATTGTTTGTGATTGCGAAAAAGCGGCTAGATGTTTTTTTCTTTAACAGTGTACAAGTTTTTCTTTAACAGTGTACAGGTACAATGTTATAAACTAGAAATTAAAAAATGAACTTTATCAGCATTAGAATGATTCTAAGATATTCATCAAACCAACCTCACTGAAATCATCATTTGACTGTACTGGGCAACATCGTCCAAAACAGAATAGGGCACGTAAGTGAAAATTGCATCGGTTATTTTTGAGAATTGATCAGGACACCTGAAAAGTTGGGTTTTTTTGAAGAATTTAAAATTTACATACGCCAATGAGCCCTCCACGAAACTGCAATAACCAAAAATCACATAGAAAACGCCAAAAACAAACTTGGCGGCACATTCACTAGCGGCTAAGAGTCTAAATTAGGTCAATGTTATGCGGTCTTTATGACTTGAGCATAATTATCAAACTGTACATCTCCCAAGAAGTGTTTCAACGTCCGAAATAAAAATAATCTGACGGTGCAAGGTCAAGAGAGTCTGGTGCGTGAGGCAAAAGCAGCCTAGCTCCTCAATTTTTTTTATGACTGGCTTTTACAGTGTGGAGTTTAGTGTTATCGTGCAGAAATCGGACTCTTGACGGTTTGATCCCCAATTTCTTTAAAGCTTCTTTAACACTCACTAGTTGTTTTGAGTAAAGGCCTGCATCGACTTTTTTTTCTAGGTTTTAGCACTTTATAAAGCACCAATCCTTTCGAATTTCACCATAAACAGAGCATGATGCCGCATAATAATGCTTCGATCCATGGATATCGGACTTGGGGGGTGGTTTACGGGGCTTCACCAGTAAAGAGCCATTGATTTTTTCAAGTGACATTGTCATAGCTGATCCAAGTTCCATCAGAAGGCAAGATTCTATCACAAAAATCTTGTGATTTGCACCTTTGAAGCAAGATGGAGCATACGGTGACACGAGCTATTTTGTTACCTTGGGTCAGCTCATGTGGAACCCATTTTCCATGTCGAACCTTTTTCTCAAGTTGATGCAAATGGTTTTCAATTGTCACATGGCAAACGTCGAAAAATTCTGCTAATTCCCAAAGCATAAATGTGGAATCAATTTCAATAGCACTGAGGAAATCGTCATTTAAGATTTCTGGAGGGCGTTTAGTATGTGGCTCATCGTGGAGGCTTTCGTTGCCATCTCGAAAACGCTGAAGCCATCGACGACACTGCCTTTCACTTATACAATCATCTCCGAAAGCTTTGACAAGTGAACACTGAGATTCAGCAGGGATTTTTCCTCGTTGGAAATCATAGAGCATGGCAGCTCGAAGCACGAGCTTGTTGTCATCCATTTTTTTTTTCCAGTAAAAACCACTAGCGAAGTGATGAGGGAAATGATTATAAATCTAGTGGGTGTGTAGTTTATTTTTGTTCAAAGCATTACGTAGATAAATACTTGGCAAATTGTCAGCCTCGGAAATTCGAAGCGCGCATTATTTTCTTTACACTCTGATAATTTCTAAAACAAACCGAATCGGCAGTGATAAGTGATTATTTGTGATTGAATAGTAGAAAGCGATCGGTGTAATGAAAAGGCTTAAAGTCATAACCTAAAGTCAGAAGCTATTTTTCTTGTGCTGTACTCGTTACCCCAATTTCCATTTCGGCAATGATTATATTGATTGTCCATACTGTATCAAAATCGATATCTGGTGGATTAGCCAACAATGGCCATTCACCTTTATCGACACTGTTCATCAATCCTAGATAAAGTCCCATGAGAGCTGTCGACAATAACAAGACAATAAAGAAGTCTCGAAATTCCCATACTTTAGAATATCTGCAAGTGCTGGAAGAAAACATTTACAAATCTTAATTTAAATAAATGGTTCTTATCTCAAATTTTCTGTTTCACATTCCCATGCGAAGCTACAATTTTCCAAGTTTTTTCCGAGTCTATGCCACCTAATTTGTTCAAAAATTAGCTTTTCTAAAAAACACAAACTGTTTTTTGAGGTAGTGTGGACAAACTAATTTAAAATGAAATAAAATGTTTGTAAAAACCTAAGCCTTTATCAAGCAGATTCGTGTTCGATAACCGAAAAACCCCGACGCGCGAAATTTCAATTTGAATTGGCTTCGTAAACTGCTCTAATCTCAGTAGACAGAACACCAGAAACAGCTTTATTGAGAGGGTGTTAACAAAAAAAACCAAAAAAAGGACCCCAGCCAGGATCAAACAACGTTGGCTTCAACTAGCCGAAGCCAACGTTGTTTTATTTGGCAGATCGGCTGAAACTGATTGGAGTTAGACTGAAAGGATTGTAAAATTTTTTTAAGCGACTTTATCCTTTGAACTCTATATAAAATGACTAATCCAAGACATAAACAGTTACTGTTGATCTTTTCAAAAACATACAAACTTTTGACCTCGACAAGGAAACAATAAACACAAAAAATTGAGTATTTTCTCATGCCAAAGAACAGAGAACATAAACAGGAATCAGTTTGATTGTGATCACTTGAGTCATATGATAAACAAATAGTTCTATCTGGGATTTACCAAAAAAACAGGCTTGACTTTTGAGGGTGAATCAAGAAAGGATTCTGGTTCAATCCCCTCCTCGGCCAATTTCTGTTTTGTCCCGACTCTAGGATCTCTAACCAGCTAGACAAGGAAAAAAAGAGGTTTAAGCTTCGGATTAGAAACTAGAGTCGTACAAGGAAAGGCTAGAAAGAGTCAAAAAGTCATATCTAAGCCTGACTTTCGTCGGATCCAGAGACTTTTTCAGGCCTAGAATAAGATCATTCTCGTCTAGCCTAGGACCTTTGAGCTAATCCACTTAATTTAAGTGGCTAATCCTAAGTAGCTAATCCACTTAATTTCAGTTATTAACTATTCCTAACTAATGACTGTACTTAATTGTTTTTTACAAAACCATTTTCAAATAAGCGCGTTCGGGATTAAGGGCAAAAAAAGCACTTTTCTAATATCAGAAAGGGTTTATGGGAAGCTTTTATTGAAGATTTCTTTGCATGGTTGGAGTTGTAAAGATTTAAATATGGCAGGGTTTCTAAAAGGTGCTCTTTTACTTTTGTTTTAGATAGATAAATTTTCAATCGATATTATTATTAGATTTCAAATCTCTAAACCGTTTTTCAAAAAAATTTCTCTTGGCTCTAAAACGATGTGGCTCACCTCTGTGTCACCCTGCATAGAACCACTCGTTTTTCGTTTACAACTTTTCTCCTAAACATTGTTTCGATCTGAAATTTTGGCAACCGCTTTCGTACCACCAAAAACAACTATATAACTAAAATCAGATTGAACTGAGTTTTTATTTGGCTATTTATGCGGGAACTTGTTTGCTATTTGGTTTTTACTTTGGATGCTTTTCGTTTTGCACACAAAAGACCAGAGAGCAATGCAAAAGAGTAATGCTTTTTTGAGATCAAAGATTCTCTTTCGATTTTTCGAATGCGGTCGGGGATTTATATGAAATGGTCGACTTTTTCGGGGTCATAAAACGTAAAAGTAATTTTTGAGGGGAAGTAAAATTAGAAGCCCAAAATTGATTGCAAACGAACTCCAAAAATCAAATATGAGATGTTCCACTTCCGAAATTATTTTCAGAAATTTTCGAAAAGCCCTCTCAAAGTTGATGTCCTTTGTCAACTTCGCCAAGTTTGGGAGTCGAAATCTCGCAAAAAGCGTGTCCACGACATATTTCGCCACTTGACGTTCAGAGTTTAAAGCTTTTGCAGTCAATTTTGGGCTTTTAATTTGATTTTCTCTCAAAAATTACTTCCTCGTTATAGAACCCAGAAAAAGTCGACCATTAGATGTAAATCCCCAACCACGTTCAAAAAACCGGCCATACCGAAAGAGAGATTTTAAACCTCAAAGAGCATTTCGATTGTTCTTTTGTGTGCAAAATCTAAAACACCAAAGTAGAGACCAATTAGCAAAAACATTACATATAAATACCCAGATGGATATGAAAAATTTAGTTTAACTCAACCCATTTCTATTCGCTTTCGCTTTTCGGCCATAAGGAAACTCCTTTAGTAAAAGTGAGTTTATCAAATGGGCTAAGCTTAGAAAAACTTATAAGAGCATAGTCAAACAATAGCAATTTGTAAGACAAGACCCCCAAATAGAGAATTTAATTTGAATCTAGTGAACAAACGAATCCCGTAAATGGCTTATTCAGAATCTCAGAATCTCAGAATCAGAATCAGAATTTGATTGTGATAACAAACATGTTGGCACAATTCTTGAGTAATTTAATGAGGAAAAGTGAAAACTTATTTAGGAACAGAGAAATGAGTTTAAAAGAATAAGGAATAGTGTTAGTTTTTTGAAATTTGACGAAAACTTGGCAAGGAAAGCTAGAAACCACATTTAAACATTTGGTTTTGCTCGGAGTTGACGGGAAACCAAATAAACTAAAAACCGAGTGTTTACAGACCTGAATTAAGTTACAGCTTCATATAAACTAGTTTTAATCATTTCTTTTTAGATGCAGCAAATGATTCTGGTTGTGGCTTTTCTCGCAAGCATCGCCGCTTCCGGTAATGCTTTTCTACAGACAAATCTATCAAAGCAATTTTTGTCAATCTTAAACAATTACTCATTATACTAAAAACCAAAAGGCTCAACGTTAAGCTTTTTGGCTTTCTTTTTATAATAAATACCAGCGGAAAACGCGGAAAACGTTCGCGTTTTTCACTGGAGAGGTCCACGTTTTCCACGCAATCTAAGCCCCGTTCCTTTTTTCCAATAGCTGCGCACAGACAGACGGACGGACAGACGTCTTTTCTGCTTTATATATAGTTGATTATACATCAAATTATTCCTTAATTTTCGCTTAATATATATTATTTTAGATAGCGGATGGGGTACCATGACGGCCGCACAAATCGATCAATTCAAACAGGTTTGACATTGATATCATTAGATATTAAAGCCGTAGAATATAATAATAAATCAGCTTAAGTCTATTTTAGTCACTTGGAGAAACAGATGTTAACAAATTTGACGCTGCACTTGCGCGGGCTCGTGCTGCGGCTGCCGCTGAAGAAATCCCTGAGAGCCGACCTGGTGTTGATGAGCCAATCATTGTTTGTTAATGAGAAATCCTTAGCAAGCTTCGTTTTTAGGTTCCAAAGACAAAATCCAATCTTGCAGAAGACACAATTTCTCAAGTAGATAACGTTTTCGCTTCACAAAATCGTTTGTCAAAATCTAGATCAACACAAAGACCGGAGTGGCCCCACATCTCTACCACGGAGATATGATTCTGACAAAGTGAGTCATGTAAACGATTGTTAATTTTATAATTTAAACTTCAGTAAGCAAATCGATGTTGTTATGCCTGCCAGTGGAGCTGCCAGTGAGTCGTTATTCTAAAATGGAGAGCTAATAACCATATTTCCATTAGTTTCTTGCAATAGAAAAAGCATTTTTTAGCGAATCTGGACTCAAATTCCGATTCTTCATGTATTTTTCAGTCTAAAAAAGTGTTTCTCGAAAAGATTTTGGCTTTGCACGCGCACACAGCTTCAAAAAAAGTTCAAAAAAGAAAAAGTGACCAAAAAACAGTCAAAAATGGCATTTTTTGAACTTTTTTTTGAGAAGTCGAGCCAAAATCTTTTCGAAAAACATTTTTTAGACTAAAAAATACATCAAGAATCCGAATTTGAGTCCAGATTTGCTAAAACAAGTTTAAAAGTTGAAAAATTTGACCTTGCGTCAAACCCAGGAGAATCAAAAATTTTTTGGTAAGAACTCGAAATAGAAAAGAGCTTTTAGGCTTATAATATTAGAAACTAATCAAGGTAAAACTTGAATAAATTAATTTTTTAATAGAAACACAGTCTAAAGAGGAGTTGAAAAATATCAGAAATATCTCAAATTCGCTTAAATTAAGTTGTTTTAACTTCACCTAACTGAATTGAGCTTTTGCTTCTCGTGAAAGTCACATACCGTAAATGCTATATTAGAATGGCATGTCATTCTATTTTTCAACTCTTCAAAATCGACTGATCCAAAAAGTAGGTAAGGGGGTTTCACATAAATCAGAAATTTAGAATTCGTTAAAAACTATTTTAAACGATGACCCTTTATCCAAAACGTACAAAAAACACGTTTAAAAGTTTAAAAGTGAAATTATTTCCTTACCCCCTTTGAATCTCCAAAAAAAATCCATGTGGGCAACCCACATTTTTCGATTTTTCGCTGCCGATTAATCATTAGTAGGTTTTAGACCTAGATCTATCCATAAAACTTCCAAAAGGGATCTAAAGTCAAGATTTCGAGGGGTCAGTGATGCCATTCTAATACAGCATTTACGGTATGTGTTAGCCGTAGGAAAAAAGAATAGTGTGCAATTCTTGATCAAATCTTGACCACCCTGCAAATCTTAGGTCGCAAAAAGCGTCAGGCTCAGTGGCCGGCCGAGCTTTGGGCTGGCCGAACTGTCTACTACACGTTTGCCACTGGTGCCGCTGCTCTGAGTGCCAGAGCCAAACAGGTCGCTTTGTTGGGCATTGATCAATGGAGAAAAGCGACGTGCATCAGCTTTGTTCAGTCAGCCACCGCAAAGTAAGTTAATGACATAACCGTTTTTGAAATCCCCCTACTCTATCCTTCTCAAGAATCTAAAATCTAAAATCTTTTAAGCAAGAAATGTTCTCCTAGAAACCGCATTCGTTTCTTCAAAGGCGACGGCTGTTACTCGAACGTGGGAATGACTGGCGGAGTGCAGGATCTCTCGCTCGGCGATGGATGTGAAACGATTGGCCACGCTGCGCACGAGCTCGGCCATGCGCTCGGCTTCTGGCACACACAATCACGATGGGACCGAGACACGTTCCTCAATGTGATTCTAGCAAGAATCCCCGCCCAATGGAGAGACCAATTCTCAAAGGTTTGCAAATAGATAGGAGATCCGATCAAAAAACATGTTTAGGAAACCTCTGCGACCAATCACAATTACGGAGTGGTGAGTTAAAAACCCAAATTCTTGGCATAGAACAAAAACTTTGGTGTTAGTTTTTAAAAAAATTACTGTCAAACCTCGTTAGTGACTTATACAGGGTGCTTGTAAAGTTTTGTAATCAATAGAAGTGTCTTTATAATAAAATCCCATCAAAATAGAGCAAAATGAAACTCAAATTTAGAAAATTCGACTATTTTTTACCTTTTATATATGTCTGTTTTAAAGAGGAATTTGTGTTTTGAAGTTTTAATGCTTTTTCAATCGAGTCTTACGCAACTCCCTTGAACTCCCTCGATTTTTAAGCTCGATTAACAATGTTTGAGACTCTCAAAATCGATAATTTCAAAAGCAATTTGACTATTTCAGGGATAGTTTTAAAGAAAAATGATTCTTCTTTCAGATAAGTTATCAAAATTTCCTTTTAAGACACTAGAATTGGTTTGGAAAACGAATTGTAGAAACTTGACATGCGAACAAACTGAAAAACGATATTAGCTCACAGGAAATAATACTAAAAAACGTTTTTGAAACCATACTTTTTGTATTTACAGGTTTATATGGTTGGCATAGAGTTAAACATTGTGTAACCATTAAAATTTGAGACACCTTAGGCTTTTACAAGTTTTATTATAGTGACTAATGTAGACAGAACTCTTGAGCCAGCCTGTAGAAGGGCCTAGAAATACATTCGGTCATTATCTAGGTTAAATCATGAAACAGGTTTAATTGTATTCTTAAAAAACATTGTTTTTCAAGAAATTGAAAACGCGCGCTATGCATCTCAATTCTTTGTCGATTTTTAGACTTACGATTATGGAAGCATCATGCACTATGATGGAAGAGAGCTCTCTTCAACCAATCAATACTATGCACTCACTAAGGTCAGTAGGAAAGCCTAAAGATTATTTATCGTCATCTCATTTAGCTTGCACCAACATACCAAGACAACATTGGCTCCTATATTCTCTCTTTCAACGAAATCGTGATGATGAACGCTCACTATGGATGCCCAAGTCTTTTTTGAAAGATCTCACTGAAATTCCTCTTTATTTAGCAAAATGCACGAGCGGGGCTACTTGTTTGAATGGTGGGATCAGAAATCCACGAGCTTGCAACCAGTGTCTCTGCCCTTCCGGCTGGGCTGGAACCCAGTGTGCGGCTAGGGTGAGAAAGATGACTGGCAATTCATATTATATACAATCTTTGTCAGAAACTACAGGACCACCTGGTCTTTCAGTCGTCAAATTCAGCTTTTAAGATAACAAAAAACTATCCGATTCTAAATATTCTTATAAAAGTTTGTAATTCTAGCAAGTTTTTGTTAAATTTAAGCTTTTGCAAGCAAAGAGTCAAAGGAATAGTCAAAGGAATTCTATTTTTTAAACTCTTTCTAGACGAAAGATTTTAGGTTGATTGAAACTGAAACGCAAGATTTATGGCTCTAAAAAGTTGACGAGTCGTAATCGGATTTCAAGTTTTAACTCTTAAGAAAATAGGTCTGTGTACTCGATGAGAAGGTTCTGTTTTTGCGAAAAAATGTCTTCTAGACCGAAATTACATCACGATTTCAAATCCCTAAACCGTTTTTCAAAAAATTTTCTCTTGGCTCTAAAACGAGATGGCTCACCCTGTATATTGGGTTGGGGAGAATGAGTCGGCGCCGAAAATCAAAGAAATTTCTAAAACTTATAGCAGACTTTGTCAAATGATATGCGTTTGATATCCGTAGAAGGGTAACTAATTCTCTACAAAATAATATTTAAAGAGAACTCAAACAGCGCCTCAACTCAACAAAGGATCATTTTTTTCACAAAATCGATAAACTGTCATCTAGAGTAAACGGTTGGAGGGATCTTCCTGAAAATTTGGTAACTTATGTAATTGAGTGTGCTCTATCTTTTTTATATAAACACCAAAGGAGGTTTATGTGGAAGAAACTGTTCAAGCAATGAGTCGGACTTTTTGTCATTTTGATTAGCTGTGTTTGGGAATCCATAAAATCCCAAAAAAAGAAAAGCTTTGTGGAATCTCTCAAAAGCCATTTTGTAAAGAAATAGTGGACCATTTTGATGAAACAAAACGTGTATTTAAAGAAGGTTTTATGGGTGCAAAAAGTTTCTTTAAATTTCGGCGCCGACTCATTCTCCCCAACCCAATAGAACCACTCGTTTTTCGTTTACAACTTTTCTCCTAAACATTGTTTCGATCTGAAATTTTGGCAACCGCTTTCGTACCACCAAAAACAACTATATAACTAAAATCAGATTGAACTGAGTTTTTATTTGGCTACTTATACGGAAACTTGTTTGCTAATTGGTTTTTACTTTGGATGCTTTTCGTTTTGCACACAAAAGACCAGAGAGCAATGCAAAAGAGTAATGCTTTTTGAGATCAAAGATTCTCTTTCGATTTTTCGAATGCGGTCGGGGATTTATATAAAATGGTCGACTTTTTCGGGGTCGTAAAACGAGGAAGTAATTTTTGAGGGGAAGTAAAATTAGGCCCAAAATTGACTGCAAACGCTTTCGAACTCCAAAAATCAAATTTTGAAATGTTCCACTTCTTGCTAATTGCAGGAATGGATAACAGAAAAATCCCAAGAGTTCTTTTTAATTTTGTTGTTTAGCCAGCCGGTTGTGGAGCCGCGTTGACGGCCACGGCGGCCGCTCAGACGACAACGATTGCTGCTGGAAGTGCCAGCATGGGCCAAACGAATGCTTTCGCTATGTGCAACTATTTGATTAGAGTAAATTTTGAGAACGTTACAACATTTAGTTGTTTCTATCAAAAAAAACTCAATTCAGGCGCCGGCTGGGAAAAAAGTGCAGATAGTCTTGACGACGCTGACCAACAACGAGTGTGTGGATGGGTGTTACCATGGCGGAATCGAGATCAAGGCCATGTCCGATCACAGATACACCGGAATTCGGTGAGAGACTTACAGTTTCTGAAGATGATAGCAATTTGTTTAAAGGGCTGTTTAAAAAGCCATATTCCAAATTTCATCCAGTTTCTTGGTCTAAGCTTGGTGCAGTCTGAATTTTGTGGTAAAAAGTCTCCAAAAATAGGAATTTGGCTTTTTGGCCTGAAACTTTTGAATTATCTCTAATAAGCGTCAACTCTATAGTGTAACGGAAACAGCTTTGCTCTCAGCCCTCATTCAAGCTATAATCAAGTTTAACATATCAAAACATAGTACAGAATCTCACAAGAAGAAGGCATGAAGTCATTATGGTTTTTTTGAACTTTCGCTGCTTCAATATGCCCAATTTGAGCTGAATCTGTAATTAGTTTTTGTCCAATTCTTTGCAATCTCAAGGAAAATAGAAGTTTCTGGGGGCCTTCAATGAAATTGAACTAAAAAAGCTAAAGAAAATTCGAGTGGGTGAAAGCTAGCTTGTTCGCCTTGTAGGGTAGCAACTTAGTAGGCCACTAAGCAACTTGTAACAGCGGCTTAACTTCGCCTTATGCAGATCCCCAAAACCTCCGCTTTCTTTTCCTTAAGATTGCAAAGGATTGGGCAAAAACTCATGAAGATTCAGGTCCGGCAGCTCAAATTGAGTAGGATGAAGCAGTCAAAGTTCAAAAAAAACCCAGAATGACTCTATGTCCTTGTGAGATTCATTCAGTTATATTCCTTCTATTTTCAGCTAGTTTTTTGGTAGAAAGTAAACTAATAACTTAATTGGGTAACGAGAAATACGTACCGTAAATACTGTAATCGTACCCCACTCCCATAATGACGGTGCGGAGCGTTGTGTAGTCTATCAGGTTGGCAACTAAATAATGGCCCTTTTCAGTAAAAACAAAAAATTTATTAACAAGATGAACAAATATCAACATCAATCCAAAAGGTATTCTCCGTCATTCTTTATTACTTCTTTCCACTTTTGACGGAGCAACTGGATTCCTCTCTTGAAAAATTCTTCTGGTTGATCGTCAAAGAACTTCTGCACTGAAATTCGGACTTCGTCAAGGTCATTGAACTTTTTCTCGGCTAGAAAGTGTTGCATCGATCGAAAAAGATGGTAATCACTAGGCCCCATATCCGGGCTGTATGGCGCATGAGGAAGAACATTCCAGCCCAACTCCTCGATTTTCTCCATTGTAAGTTTTGCAGTGTGTGGTTTTGCGTTATCATGGAGAAAATGAATTGAAGAGGGTTCGAGTCCTTGAGAGCGAATTGCTTGATCTACACGATGTAGTTGAGACGAATAGAGTTCTGAATTAACCGTTTGCCGGCTTTTGAGAACCTCGAAATGCACCAACCCACGAGAACTCCACCACACACAGAGGAGAGTTTTCTTTGAGTGAATATCCGGCTTCGGAGTTGGTTTTGGGTCTTCGTTTGTGCTAAGCCACTATCGTTTTCGCGTTCGATTATCATAAAAGATCCATTTTTCATCAGAAGTGACAATGGAATCCAAGAAGCTTCTCTTTTTCGCAAGTTTTAGTAGTACTCCAGCTGTGATAACACGAGTAGCCTTATTTTCTTCGCTCAATTCATGCGGAATCCACTTTCCACTGCGGTTACTTTTCCCCAATGCATGAAGTCGCTTTTCGATTGCAGTATGCGAAAAGCCCAATCGATCCCCTAGCTCGCGTGATGTTTGACTTGGATCCTCCTTTAAAGCTGCTTCCAAAATATCGTTCTGCAGAAGTTCGGGTCGTCCTTGGCGAGGCTCATCTTCAAGACTTTCATCCCCTTCCTTGAACCGTCGATACCATCTCTTACATTGTGTTTCGGAAAGAGCTTCATCACCAAAAACTCGCAATAAATCTCTGTGGGATTCGGCAGCTGTTTTGTCTTGTTTGTAGTCGTACCAGAGACAGACACGCATTCGATATTTGAGATCTTCCATTTCTAAACAAAATTATTTGAAAAGTATCAAATCAAGGAAAGTAAAAAACGTATAATAATGCACCAGAAATTCAGTAATATTCAATTAACAACAAGCGAGGGTAGATTAAACGCAAAGATTAAAAGATTTTATCAAAAAAGGGCGAGGGCCATTATTTAGTTGCCAACCTAATAGCTTTGAACGAGTGTTTCTCGACACTGGTTTATGCTACAATGCGCGCTTAGGTATCAAAAAATAGCCCTGAATTTCAGCTATTTTTTGATACCAAAGACGCATTTTTGAAAGTACGGGCGCTTTGAAAAAAATGAAATAATAAAAAACTACGCGACTACGCGACTGTACGAGGGGGGTGGGGTACTATTACAGTATTTACGGTAATTACATCAAAAACCTTATAGGGATTATTAGAGGGATAACAATACGTAAGATTATGTGGAAATTGTATACGGTAACTATTCTAAAACTTAATGAAAAGACTAAAAATGTTAATAAGCTATTCACAATTGCAGAAAATGTTGTGCCGAGGACAAGGGCACAGCGATTGTCTCTCAGGGAAACGTCGTGCCGATCATTGCATTTAGTCGACTCAATCGACCGACTACGACGATCACGTACAAATGGGGTGAGGCTGAATTTCGAAGAAAAAAAAAACCCGATTTTTACCTGTTTATCTCACCAATTTTTAGTTGAAGCAACCGTCGTTTCGACTGTAACCACAGCCAAGATCGCCGGCACAAAGATTACATACTAGAAGCGAATTCTGTAATAAAATCCTTTTATCTTTACATTTGTGAAGTTTTTTTTCGCCTTACAATTTTTAAACAAAAGACACGTTGTAGCACGTGTTTCTAGAGTTCAAATAGCAATCAAAGCGACATTTTGTGGTGCCATTCGTTTTTTGATTGAAGCAATCAGAATGATTCAGAAACAGGATGAGTCAATCAAAATGATTGATCATTTTTCGAGCAAAAAAACATTTGAAAACTCCAACAAATGTGGTTTTTTCAAACAAACAAACAACCAAAAACAATTATTTTCTAGCAGGCAAAAGAGAATCTCGAATCTTAAACGATTTGCGTTTGATGGAGGCAAACTTGTCTCGATATTGCGCAGATCAATATCTGCTCTCAAATTGTATTGTCTATAACGTCTCTAATTTAGTCTAATCTATTGCCGACCTTCATGAAGCCTTTCTCTCCCCAGGTCTCGCCCCACGAGTTCTCGATGATCCACTAAGGGATTCCATTCTCTGTGCCTAAAATCAACAACATTTTTATTAGGCGGAATGATAGACTTTGTAAGTGTAAGTGTAAGTAAGTTGAATGATAGACTGTTAGCATACTACAGGGTAACCAATAAGTATGGAAACCATAAGCCTTTTTTACTTTTTTCTCTAATGGCGATAAGGACTATTCTCAATATCAAACTATTGACTATTCTCAATATAAAAATTACAAATATCTTTGACAAAAATAAATCAAAGTTCCCTTCAGTTCTCCAAAAAAATACAGTATAGCTTTTGCTGCAATTCATCAGAACCGATGGTAGCAAAGCTCTATTTGCCAACGAAAAGCTTATTCAAATAGAAATTAACTTGAATAAACCTAATGAATCGTTTACAAGCAAAACTTTGTTAAACATCACAGTTATTTCGGATTTCAATAATTTTCCGAAGAAATGTTGCTTGTTCGCCACGATTAATGCAGCCGCCAGTCACTTTCAGTTGCCAGACCTTGGCTTTTGTGTTCTGAAAATGCAATGTCTTTTTAATTTAATTGATTGACCTGAATGTTGTAGCATCGCATGTCTCCGGTTATATGGTAGAGCGCGCCTATCTCCAGGTCGATTTGAGTTACAGCTACAGCTGAGTTTGCATCAGTCGTATTTTTTTGCAAATGAAACACACGTTTTTCAAAATTTTGACAACCTTTTACAAAGGAAAAAATGTAAAAATGTTCTAAAAGCTTAAAAAGATATGATAAAAACGTTTTCAGTCAAGACCAAAGTTTCTGGCCTTACACCAGTCCTGCCTGTCCTTTGCTCTATGGGAAGGAGTTCTGTTTAAAAATCCAAACTTCGAATCAAGCAAAATTCAAGGATCTTTCTCCAAAAAGACGCCATGGATATCAAAGTTAATCGAGAAACTGTCCGAATAATTGCTAAAAAAGGCCTAAACCTTGGTCCATACAAGCTCAAATAAAGACATTATCGGAAAATCTTTATTGGAACCAAGTTACAATACAGGAATGAAGAACAAATAACAGTAAGTTTAGTAAACAGATGATAGACAATATTATTTTAAAAATAGCCAAAACTACAACTCAATGATTTAGTGTTTTGCGACGAGTGAATCGCCAACGAAATTCTTGTCCAAATTCAGCAGAATACTCTTTGGCTTGTGAAAAAGTGAAATCCAGTGTGTCGAAGAGATCCAAATAAACATAATCTCAAATCCATTCATTAAAGAGCATTTTATCTTGTGGGCGTTTGCTTTTATCAACCATCAGAGTCCAATCAGCAGGCGACATGAAGAAAATAAGGTTTTGTTTGATGCGGCAAGATCTACTGAAAGTGATTGATTAGTCATGAATAGAAAGAAGCCTTTTCTCTATTGTTAAATTATCCAAACACCTACATAACCCAGTTCATCAATCGGCTGTAGGCATTCCAATTGGCTGCAAAATATCCACCTTTTGGCAAACGAAAAGCTAGATTTGTGATTTCCCAAGTGGTGATCAGAGTGGTCTCGAGAAAATGCTGAAAATAAGATTCCGTTAGTAACGTAATACTTGACACAAGTGGAAGTGGGGCCATTTTTTTGTTCACTTACGGATATTTGCATATCATCATAATTTGCACACTCGAAAATAACATTTTGGATTTCACACAAAGTAGTCGATTTTGGGTAACAATGATCCGGTATTTCAGCATTACCCACAAAAAGTGAGTTGTAGAGATCGAGGCGGAGATTCGGTCCAGGCTGAAACTCATAATCATTTATATGTTTCTTATTTTGGCCTATCTTACCAGCCAGTCAGTGTGCTTGAACGTCAAACGGTGGAAATTTTGAGGAGTCTGCGCTTCAGGATCTTTTGCGAGAGAAGATCCAACTGAAATTCAAAATTTATCTTTATTTGATTTCTTTTTGTATAGTTACTTTGTCTGAAAGTTTCATTGCTGTGTTGAGCTACACGGTTTTGCTGACTCTGTTGCAACAACGAGCCCGAGAATGATAAATCTCCTTTCTCAATCGAGATCGAGAAAGGAGACGAGAGATTCATCAATTCCTCCACTTTGAGTCGTTCATCTCTGAAAAGTACACCGTTTTTTCAATAGTAAACTTTAATTGCAACTAAAAGTGTTAAATTTTCTTAATTTTATGCAAAATCACTCAAGTTTTCTTTGAACCATTGAAAGTGGTTTTATGTTTCGCTTATCTAAATTAATCTATTTGTTAGTTTCACTTATCTTTTTCACTTTGTCTCTCGTTTTTAATCCCAAAAACCATTCTCTCCTTTGGGACGTGAGTTTTGGGTGAATTAATTTAGAATTCAACTTGATTTACCTAATCCACTGATAGTAGGAATAGGTGAGAAGCATTTGCCATATCCACGGAATTCCAAAGAAAGCCAAAGTGAGAAGCATTACTACAATTGCACGTCCATCGAAATCCCGGTTATGGTCAGTCCTAAAACCCATGTTTTTTCACTTCAAAACTTTAACATTATATGGGGTACGCTAGCTAGTGTTCAATTATACACTTTAGAAAGTTGCAAACTGCTTTGTTTTAAACCTACATCAACGCTAAGGTCGCCTCACCGGCGGTGAACAATAACCCAAGGCCGGCAAACCATAAGCAGATTTTCTGAAAGTTTCAGTTTATTTGCTTAAAACCTTTTTAATCCACTCTACTCACCAGGTAGAGTTGGATGAAAAATGGTCGCTTTGAGTGAATCGAGATGATTGCGAGGAGATGAGTGAAGAAAATTATCTCAAAGATGATTGGCTGAAAGAAAACAATCAAAACAACTAGAAATTTGATGACAGTAACAATCAAAATCACTTAACAATCAAAATCTATAGGTCTCACAATGTTTCTTAAACTCACCGGATCATTCAAAATAAACCTTGGCCTTTGAATGAAATCGATTTGAACACAACCGAGCAGAAGCATCTCGAGATAAATCACAACACGAAAACACCACTAAATAATCAAATAGGCTATTTTCTTAAAATATTTAAATCTGATTAGTTAGCGTAAAATTAACTTCAGCGGAAAATACTTAGTAAGACTTTAGTATACTTTTTGAGACCAACCACCCAAAACATCGAGTGGGATCTCTTCGTCTCGTTCTCTTGCTTTTCCATTTTCGGACGCCACAACCAGACTCGAGTCATTTTCTGAAGGCAACAATTGAAACTGAGTAACCATGATCATTTCATTGAAATTGAATTACCGTAATTATTTTAATAGAAGGACATGTCCATCTATTTTTCAAACCCCCAAAATCGACCGCCCAAAAAATAGATAAGAGTCCGCCCCACTTGAATCAAGAATTTTAAAATTGTTAAAAACTGTTTTAAATGATAGTTCTTTGTCCAAAACATAGAGAAAACACGTTTAAAAGTGCAAATATTTTCTCACCTCAACGCCTTAAGAATCCTTCAAAAAGTTTTTCAAAAAAATTTCAAAAAAGAATAATTACGGTCGTTGAAGAAAACTAATCAAATGCAATCAGATCATTGAAACTGATAATAAAACGGGTCTGTTTAGACAGAATCTCTTCTAAATTGGTGGAAAAGTAAACGATATTAAAGATTGTTTAAAAGAAATCAATTGCAAAAGTGAAAGAAAACTTTTCTAAAACTACTGCTGTTAAAAATAGATATGTTGTCTTACGGAAAAGAAAAAAAGAAAAAGCGAGAGAAGATCAAGTAAATTTTAAAAAGAAGAAGCAATTTTTAAATGATTAGAATGAAAAAAAGATAAAATGAATCCAGTTTTGCACATCTGCTGCAGGTCAATTATTGTCTGATGTGCTCACATTTGTCTGTAGGCTTCCTCTAGTTTTATGAACATTTTTCAAAGATAATTGTCGGGAGTGTTAATTTATTGCAGTAAATGTTTAAAAAACAAGAAGAATGAGTTCTAAATAAAAGTTCATTGGTTTGTTCCTTTTTGAAATGTCATCATTACGATAAGGTGCGAATTTCCCTTCAAAACAGTTTATTTTTTAGGTCTTTGAGTGTCCTATTGCAACAAGAGTAAAGTTTTGTTCTTGTGGAATGCTACTAATTTTAGTTGTATCATTGATGTCCCCAAATTGTGCTTCATTTTACAACATTATCTCTTTTTTTGCTTTGTCAAAGTGTGATATAGTTTAGTAATCTTTAACTTTCAGAAATGAAGAATCGATTCAACGAAAACTTCTGCACTTAGAATCAGAATCGGATGTCAAATTTAGATTGAGTCTAAATTGGATATAACATATACTTATGTATAAATACAAGAATGTTTTTAAAGAAATTTCCTAAACTTACGTTCACGATGAAGCACAATTGCGTCAACGAGAAAAATCTTTTGTCGTTTGTTTCCACCTTTCCACCACTATTCTTCTTGAATTCTAAATTTGTTTTGAGTAGAATTTTTTGTTAGAGGCCATGACTTCAATGTACAAAAGTCTTTTAGAATATGGTAAACAGAAACGACATTTAAAAAACCTTTCAAATTGTAGAGGTTCTCGACCACTTGTCCTCTTTAGATTGTAGAGGTTGTCGATCACATTTGTCACCATCTTTCTAAATAAGATAACTGATTAAGTGATACTGTTTTTGAAAGTTTCAAAATAGAACACAGTTGCATGTTCTGTGAAAGAATCCATAACTTTTGGAGGCACATGAGTAAAAGTAACTGTGCAAAAACGATACGGTAGTTCGATTGGTTTAGATAGATTCATGTATTCAAAATGTTTTGTGCAAAAAATAGCGCAGAATATGATTAGCTTTGAATTTGCATTTAAAGCTTTAGGCGAAATGGGTTTTAGGCAAAATGGGCGGTTTGCTTGACACGAAAGCACCGAGAAAGCAATCGTTAAGAAAAGATACAAATCGTTCAGCCTTGTTGTTTTGTTGTTTAGCTTACAATATTACAATGGAAAAAGTTATTGTTTATTTCAAGAGACCCATAAACATTATCATGGTTACATTTTTGTTTTTATTTATTTGCGGTGTTTAGTCGGAATGTGTAGGCAAATGTTTATTATCTGCTAAAAGTACTTAAATTAAGTAATGAATAATTGCAATCAGTACTTAAATCCCAGTGGAAATTCAGCTCGTTTTCACCAAAAAACTATCAAGCTTTTCAATTAAATCATTAGTCCTAATAATTCGGAATCTAAAACCAAGATATGGCCCAACAATATTGTCCGCTTTTACCACTCTTTTAGTCACAAATAGACTTTTGTTAGCGGTTAGAACCTCTTCATTATGTTTTATAGAATCTAGTAAAAACACCGAAGAATCGGTGTACAACGTGCGAAAACAAAAATAATTGGGGCATTCCAAATCCTTTTCCAAATCTTCTTTTAATCCTTTCAAATAAAAGACGGGAACAGATTCTTTTGTTTCGTTAAAACCACTCATCCAATTGAAAAATTTTGAGAAAGCCATCCGAAGCTTTTCGTACGAATTGAGCACATCAGGAGTCGAACGGGTCAACGCCGAGTTTTGAAAAGCTTGGTCATAGTGTAAATCATAGTAAGCCATTCCTGTGAATTGATAATGGAGGAAAGGAAACCATTTGCTTTTGTCAATTATTTGTTCGAGAGCTTTCTTCAGAATAGGGGATGGACTTGCTCGTTTCTCATTGATTTGACGAATCTTTTCCTTTAACATAATCATTATCAAATCGATATGGAAACCATTTAAATGAATGTTTTTGGTTTCTTGCAAATCTTTATTCAAAATTGGAAAACGCTGTTTACCAGTTTTCAGTGATTCTCTTGAAAACTCAAAATCAAATCTGAGCAATAAGAGCTCTTTCCTTTTGGAGAGCAAAAAATACTGGTGCTCGTTTTCTTTTAACACAATCACTTTGAACCAAAATTGATAGAAGTAACTTTTTCCCAATTCTATTTTTAATTGGATGATTTGTTCTAGATCTTTTATCAAGCTAATTATTGAATAATCTGCTTCTTGTGAATTCAACATTGACATAAGTTCATTCACTCTCCATATCAGATGACCACATTTGGCATGAAAATTTTCTAAGGCATCGCGAAAATAGTGGTCATATTTTTCAAAAGATTTCTTGTTGTTAAAGGCAAACTCTCCATGGAAGGCCCAATGCCTTTAAGAATATCCCATTGACCATTTGGTATCTCATCAACCATGAATAGGTAATCATTCGGGATTTGCACATGATCTCTGATCGATTTTTTCTTCAACTTATAAATGAGTTGTGGATCTTTTAAAGCCGTATTCAGCAAGTTTACAACTGTATCGATTGGCAAGTTCTCAGTTTGATTTGAGTTGATAACAAGTAAAATTCCGTTCGATGACTTTGTGCCGTTGCTGGAGTCGATCAAATTTGACTAAACGATTTCGTTTGATTGAATATAGTGATAAAAGTTACCTGATTGTTATTAAAAGCAAATAGATACAGTCCAGCACAAACGACGATCAATAAGATGATAACTGAGAGAAATGAAGCGTATATCCGAGCTCGTTTCTTTTCAGGCTTATTTGTTTTGAGATCCAATGGAACTATGACAGCTTCCTTAATAACTGCAGAGTTTCGGTTTTCTCGAGTTTAAGTCTTGGCATTGAACTCCCGGCTGTTGAGGTTAAAGTGACTTTGTCAAAAAGTACACTGAGATCAAGCGATGCAATTGGAACTAAATTCATTGTTCCATCAAAACCGATTGGTCGAATCAAGTTGGTCTCCATTTCGACAATTTCTGGTGAGAAGCTTTCTTTTGAAAATATCTAAATTCATTGACGATTTCCAGAACAAAACTTGACCTCATTTATTTTAACAATCAGCTGATGACCTTCCTGGATATCTGATCGTTGGTCCGGATGGGCTTTTGTGCATCTAAGAAGCAATTCTTTCTAATAGGTTGATGCATAAGTCTTTTTGTTCCTTTTCGTCTGCCGTTTCAAGCCAACAAATGCACCAATTAAACTACGGTTGATTTCATTAGAAAAACCAATTATTTTTCTGCAAAATAACATTAAAACGGGTTTAAAAATATTTTATGCCTGGATTTTCTTGAGAGCATGAAGTCGGGTAGTCAAAAAAGGGCTAACTCGATGATGCGGTTTAGACACCTTAGCTAAAGAAAACCTATCTTCGTGTCAATAGATAAAAGATAGAGAAAAAAAGTTTGATATTTCGCCAAAATTTCAGAGAAATTCATTCAGCCAATTTTTCCGTAGAGTTTTTTATAGATTTTTACGAAAAAGGCGTTTTTCACTCTCGAATTTGCTTGAAAGTGAACCGAAATTGATTTAAAAAGATGGAAATTGAACAAAAAAACACTTTTTTTTATAGAGCAAACTATAGATTAATTGGTGAATTTGTTACTTTTTAACAGAAGTACGAAAAAAACGAAAAGACTTATGCATCAACCTAATAATATTATTAGATCAGATCACCAACCTGCTTACAAGATCTCTCAGCTCTTTGTGCACACAATCGACGGGCTCCAACTCATAAACACCGTTCCATAAGTCGAAGAATAACGCCAGATAATTAAAATGCTCAAAATGTTGGTATTGTTCGAAAACTAATCTAAACATCAAATCTTTTATCAGCTATTTCAAGCCCACCTCCTTTCAATGGTCTCCCATAGTACTAAACCCCCAGTTCTTTAAAGTGACAAGCCACTCCTTCATCGTCATCTTCCCTTCACCACCAAAAAAGCTATTTAGTTCCCCATTGAGCTTAGGGTTAGGGAGCCGTCTGTCATGACGTGGGTTAAGTTAAGGTATAGCCTAGTATTGTGTGTGTCGTTGTATTGTGATTGATATATTTCGTGTATGCGATAAATTCACCACTGGTAGCCCCAGTCGGTATTTTTTTTAAATATTATGCTAGTTGGCTTTGTTTTTTTATTGTTTATAGCAAATTCTTCATTTATTTATTATTTTGTAGATATGGGAAGAAGAAAG